ATTATAGACGCTTGCAGCCATTGAAGTTCATTGTGCCTTACTTTCCAGAACTATTGTTTTAGATTCAAACACTAACAATGTTCACTCTCAAATCAGCATAGGTCCTCAGCCGTTTCAGAGGTGGATCAAACCTCCTATTGGAGTCATTAAAATTAATACGGATGGGGCGTGGAGTGCTTCTCACTCAACTTTTGGAATTGTTATCAAAGATTACAATGGCAATTTCATACTGGGAAGATGTGTTCCCTCCAATGTTCTTCCCCTGCAGAAGATGAAGCCTAAGAAATTTTGGAAGGTCTGAGGTGTGCCATTGCAATGGACTTTGTTGCTCTCATCATTGAAAGTGATACAAAGCACATTATTGACATTCTCTCTTCGGGTGTAGACCCTCCCTGGAAATTACATTCTACCATTCTAGAATGTAGGCATCTTGCTTCTGACTTTGTGTCAACCAGCTTTATTCATACATCTCGATCTTGTAATCGCTTAGCCCACAGGCTAGCTAATCATGCTATCAGATACAATCGTGCTATTCATACATCTTGATCTTGTAACCTGTTGTTTTTAAATAAATTTATTGCCTTTGGCTTAAGAAAAAAAGGCTCATTTTTTTATAGTCTCTATTATTCTACGGTGGACGTGGAGACTACTCTTAAAAAGATACTTGCAAGTAGAATCTTTGAAGTTTGAAGATTCAAATAGTAACCACCATTTTTGAAACCAATAGATGCTTAAGTACTACCAACAATTATTTATTGCCACTTGTTGATTCTTGCCACCATCGGTGTTCGATTGTGCTTAGAAATCATTAGTGGTTTCTTGCTCCAAAGGCTAGGGCTCGATTGAAAAAAATGGACGAAGAATTTGAATGATTTAAAATGAGAGTTTTGGATTATGTTTGTCTTTTTTTATGATCAGGTGAACCGTATTCACCCGCTTAATGGGAAGACCGTGGTTTTTAAAACCGACCCAGTGATCAAACCGGTCAGAGGTCCAAGTATCGGTTTGAACGCTCCAACTGTTCAACCTGAATGATCGACCCGTTGTGACAAAAAAAAATGAAAAATGGTCAAAACCATTTGAACGGTTCAAACAATTAACTGACCGATTCAGTAGTTTGTTGACCAAAAGCAATGGTTTTAGGGAAAAAAGTGGTTTTGGGGAAAAATGGAACTGGTTAGGTGACCGTTTCCCAATTTTTCTGGTCTGACCATCTGGTCCGGTCCGGTTTTGAAAACCATGGGGAAGACAACATTAATGAGAGTGACTTCATTCGAACAAATGACATGTACACCTCTTTATCTGACTTGAGTTGCAACATTCTTATGTTGAATTATGTTTAACCTAAAATCAAAAAGCATTATAGTAGTGGTTGAAGTCGTTCAGAAGTTCATTCACTTTCGGTTCACATTGTAGAAACAGATAAAGAATAAATTTAAGGCAAATGGTCGAGGTTCCACCATATCCCATTGGAATTAATACTTTGAGCTCACTCACTTTAAACAACAATGGCTTCTATCTCTGAGGACATGGGACATGGTCGTGGCCTATATATGTTATTTTGTTCTTCACCTTTACTCCCTTTCATAGTCATAAATTTCATTGTGCAAGTAGAGTTGCTCGATTTGGTGATCTTCAACCATATCGGTTTGGGGTCAAGATTTGAGTAGGCGTGGCAAATGGGTGGGTTGGGTAGGGTTGGGTGTGGATTGAGTATTAATCCACCCATATTGACCCACTAACCCATTTGCCACCCCTCATAGTAGGTCAAAGAGGGTCGCCACCCATTTGACCCTCTAATTGGCACCCTAACCCACCCCTTTGACCCTTTAATTCATTTATTCAAATTAGACTTTTTTTTTACCTTTTCTTTATTCTAATTGCATAAAAGCATATGGCTGTATATTTAAACCACATAACCCGGAAAACATAAAAAATGAAAGTTTTTAAAATGAAAATAGTTGCATAAAAACACCATAAATGGTAAAAATATATATATTTCCCGTAAAATACCAGAAAGTGTAGAAAAAACAAATGCAAAAAAAAAACAAAGAATTTGCAGGAAATTTCCAAAAATTGTAGAAAATGAACAAATTGATAGAAATTAATGAAAATATGAATGATAAAATTTCAGAAAATATATATTTTCACACAAAAAAATAAAAAAAAACTTTAGAATAATAAATAAAACAATAAAAATTCAAAATTTTATATATTTCAAATAAAAACAGTAATCATAGGAAAAGGATGCAGAAAATGATAACAAAGATTTCTAAAAATTATATACCTCAGGTAAAAAATAGAAAAATTATATATAAAAGACATAAAATGATTTTATCCAAAGATTAGAATTAGAATAAAAGAAAAATTATAGAAAATAAAAAATAATTCTGTAAAACATATAAAAATCTCAAAAAAATTGGCTATGGTGGTGCTTCCTGAATCAGATGGCCTCGCCTCTATTCCTCCTCCTTCGTTCAATCACCATTATAGTCTATTATGTTCAATTGCAGGCACCCTCACATTTGTTCAAGAGCTAGTGATCATTGATTCAAAGCATGGGGAGTAGCTTTGTAACAGCTCTAAAACCTTCATCTGCCACTTATGTGAGACCATTGTTGGTGGTGACAAGAATGACAGCAACAAGAATCATGGCAGCGACTTGAGAGAGCCCTAAACGGCAACAACCAGAACTATAGTAGCAACTTGAGAGAGCCCTAAACGGCAGCAGCGAGAATAGTGGCAACAAGAATCGTTGGTCATTTTGAAGTTTAGAAGTTCAACAACCCCAAATAGGGGAGAAAATAAAATAACCCTAATTGAAATAGAGGAGAAGAAGAAATGTCAAAGTATAAAAAAAAAAAATTCGAATAGGCATATAAAATGGAGGGTCAATGGTAACCTTTAACCCAACCCCACCTTGATCCTAATGGGTCGAATGATCCATCTTGACCCACCATAAGAATGGGTGGGTATGGATGGGTTTTGAAGTGGGTGGGTGAAGTGGGTTGGTGTCAAAATTCTAGCCCTAGACTTAGCTCAAACCCATTGAAAATCTAACAATTTATGGACAAAACAAGTGATATAGTACTTACGAGTTGGGGAAAATTCCCGATTAGTACCCTTTACTTTGGGCCTAGTGCCACTTTGGTCCCTGAACTTTAAAATGCGACAATTCAATGCCCAAACTTTCAAAATGTGCCAATTCGGTACCTATTGTTAACCGGTCCATTAGCCAGCCATTCAATGGCATTTGAAAAGACACAAATGCCCTTCAAGTGTCATCTAATTTTTTTGTCAACCATCCAAACTTTGATAAGAAATGAATAGTCCCAAATCCTTACCTCTTTTATTCAAGAAAGCGGGAGTCACCAGAATGCCCACTAAGACGTGATTCGAACTTTCTTGAATAGAAAAGACAAGAATTTGGGATTATTCATTTTTTGTCAATGTGTGGATAGTTGATAAAGAAAATTAGATGACATTCGAAGGACATTTATGTCTTTTTAAATGCTACTTAATGGCTGATTAATGAACTGATTAATAGCATCTATTAGATTATCACATTTTAAAAATTTGGATGCTAAATTATCGCATTTCTAAGTTCAAGGACCAAAATGGCACTAGGCCCAAATTACAGAATAATAATCAAAAATTTTACCTACAAGTTACAAACGAACACTAATTTAACAATAACTATACAATAACTATGGCACTGAAACGAACACTAATTTAACAATAACTATACAATAACTATGGCACTGAACACAATAGAATGTGACAAAACAAGATTCATGTTGCTAATGCGATATGGTTGGGACTTTTGATTTGCAAACATCTCTAGCTGTATTAAAGATTTTTAGTAAGCTCCTGTCCATTGGAGCCATTATATTTGCTTGGGAGCAGGAAGTAAAGACAGAACGGTAATTGAAGGAATTCTGATTGGATGCATGGCTATACACTTGGGCGAAATTTCAGAAAGCTTAATAAAATTCATCTTCTGTATGCAACTACCACTAATATTTGTTAAATTTGGGCAGAATGGATTTAGGGAATGTTTTTCAAAATTTGGGGTTTTAATTGAATTAATTTGTTCCAAGATTGTGGATATAGCCTCCTCGTTAATAAAATTAATTTGATCAAGCAAAGGGACTCTTGCAAGGAGGAGGAATAATTTTCTTTGCTTTTATGCGACTCTTTCCAATCCTTTGTCCTAACTACAAAGTTGAAAATTGAACAGAATTTGAATATATCTGTTTACAACACATGAATTTCTCCTTGTCTTTTTCATGGATTTCTTCCTTCCATCCGACGCCGACGGGAAAGGTGATCTCAATTTAAAACAAAATGTTATCTGCCTGCCTCAAAGTCTAATTAATATCTAATAAAATATTTCATACATTAGAAAGGACCTAAGACTCTAAGAGGGTTTAGGTGGGTGTAGACGCGTAGTTAAGTCAATCCATTCGCTTTCGTCCACTTATCTTTGGGTCTTCCGTGGACATTAGCGTTCAAGTCACATTGATGTTTAGGCTTAGACAATTGTTAAAAACATGTCGAAAGAAGACCAACTCTAGTAGAACAGCAGTTGTGAAGTCTAGAAAAAGAGAAGAATCTTATGAACATACTGAAAAAAAAAATCATGCAACAATCAAATCAAAAAGCAGACGAGCAAGGTTTTTGAATTTAAAATAAATGGGGATTGTATCAGTATTTTATTTTTGAAACCAATATCCGTGTTTTATTAATTGATCAGAAAATTTACTTTGACCATGGTTACATCAAATGTGAGCTCAAAGTATACATTATTGGGAGGCTTCCATACTTAAGCATTTGATCTATGCTTTCCCTTGGATAATAAAAAATCACCCTCTATGATTTTTCTTTTTTCTGAACAAATGGACGGACTACACATCAAGATTCAAAGAGCAAGTGAAAGTTAGGTTGTTGAATACCCGGAGTTTTTTTTTATTTTTTTTAATGCTCAGATTACAAGTAAGATTACACAATCAACAATGAACCAAACCCAAACGCCGGGCACAAATACGGAAGAGAGAAAACAATAGAAACAACACTCAGACACAAATCAAATTGTTGAGAAAATGAAGCACACCAAAGTTCAGTGCTGCGATCATCTCCATTTATTTCCCTCCACTCAGACACAAACACGCCTTCAATGCAAATAAAAATAGCAATTTACGTCATCTTCTGCATTTATTTCCATCGCTACCGTGTTCGAATTTCATTGGACGAGTGGCAAGAGAAGTTGCAGATATGAATTCAGATGGCTAAATCCAAACATCTCGATCCTCCGGGTCCTTGTATGATACCAAAACGAGATATCCTCCTCCGAGTCCGATATCCAGATCCATCAATTTCTTCTTCTGGTATTGCAGTATGATACTACGATCAATAACAAGTCTTCTACGCATATAAGAACCTCCCTTCCTTCGCTTCCATCTTCTCTTACAAAATTTCGACCTTTTTCTGTGGGTTTCGATAGAACTGCTCAGGCAGAGGGAGGGGATGACATGAACCCTGACAAAACCATGGAGCCTGGTCTCAACTGGGAGAAAGTCTTCTGCTACTACATCTTCTCCGTTCTCTTCCTCAGCCTTCTCTGCCGTGCCGACTTCCTGTACAACGTTTGTCCGAATACAACGACTTACACTACTAATAGCACTTTCCAAACCAATCTCAACTTCCTCCTCTCCTCTCTTTCCTCCAACGCCACACCCACTAACAATGGTTTCTACAATACTACCGCCGGTCGCATTCCCGATAGGGTCTACGGCCTCTTCCTTTGCAGAGGCGACATCACCGACGATGTCTGCCAGAGTTGCGTTGAGACCGCCACTCAAGACATCATTCAGCGATGCCCCAACAGAAAAGTGGCAACCATTTGGTACGATGACTGCATGTTACGCTATTCCGACCTATCTTTCTTTTCCGTCGCGTCTGGCGTGTCTTTCTACATGTGGAACACGCAGAATATCACAGATCGAAACAAGTTCGATCAGATCTTGGATGATACGATGAACCAGATAGCCAACCGGGCAGCTTTCAATTCTTCTCCCAAAAAGTTCTCTACCCAAGAAGCTAATTTCTCGAGTTTTCAGACCCTCTACTCTCTTGTTCAGTGCACACCAGATTTATCAGGAAACAGCTGTTACAACTGTCTTCTAGGCGCCATTAGTAATATCCCCACTTGCTGCGACGGGAAACAAGGTGGACGAGTTCTTGGGCCCAGCTGTAATTTGAGGTATGAGATATACCCTTTCTACCGGATTACGGCTAATGCTTCCCCTCCGTCACCTCTCAGTCCTTCACCTCCAACTAATAGTGTTATCCCTTCTTCAGGTAAACCTTTTGAATTTTTATTTCAATAGTTTTTTTTTTTTTTGAAGTTTGGAATTCAACCAAATATCCCAAACAGGGGATTCGTTACTCTGTTACGAAAAGGGGGAGATTGTCGACCTCCAAAGCACAGTGTTGGGTTTCAACGTAATTATTATGTAAAAGTTACTGAAGAAAACACAGTGTCACAGTTGCAAAAAGCAACCTTGAAAACTGAAAACATTGAATTTCAAGAAATGTCCTGCATAACCATACAGAAGTCCTTTGGTCTGTTCAAGATATTAAAATCATCATTAAGCGCTATCAGCAATTTCGTTCTGAGGCCAGAATTTACTAACATGGAACTTTTTCTTGGTTTCCCCTCTACGCAGGAAAAAGGAAAAAGACGTCAGCTGGAACAATTGTTGCTATTGTTGTTCCAGTTGTTATCGCAGTGCTCCTCATCTCTATCCTCTCCTGTTGTTGTCTACGCAGGAAAAAAATGGACATAATCAGTCAAGGTAATCATGGCTCCATAAGTTTGATGGGCATCAGAACTTTATTGTCTGGGATAACTAGCCATGAAAACAAGATTTGGATTTAATAATCAGTGTGTTACTTCAGATTCTTGCAGAAATATAGAACATTTTTTCCTTGTGTATTATTTATGTATTCATTTCAGATTCTTACCAATTTCCACTTTACTTGTTTCTAGTTGGCAATGAAATTGGAGATGTGGAGTCATTGCAATTTAATTTGAGCACAATCATTGAGGTTACAAACAACTTCTCTGATGAAAATAAGATTGGTGAAGGTGGATTCGGAAGTGTTTACAAGGTATGGAGTTACTGATAAACTGGAATCCACGTATGTCAAATATATTTTAATCAGAAATTTTGACTTCTTGAAGTTGATTTCATTCACCCACAGAATTAGAGAAGTTCAATAGCTGTTTGCATTAATGAATTCTCAGGGTAAACTTTCTGGTGGACAAGAAATTGCTGTGAAAAGGCTCTCTAGAAGCTCTGGGCAAGGTGCAGTGGAATTCAAGAATGAGGTCATATTGGTTGCCAAGCTTCAACACCGGAATCTTGTTAGGCTCTTGGGGTTTTGCTTGGAAGGCGAAGAGAAGATACTTGTCTATGAATTTGTCCCCAACAAAAGCCTTGACTTCTTCCTGTTTGGTTTGGCCTTAACTCATCTCCCCCACCCACCCACACACAACACTCACACAAATACATCATTAATTTAGACTTCTTTTTCTATAATTTTATTTCGAAAGCTAGGTTGACTATGAATTGTAATTTATATTATTCTATAATAGAAAATTAAAAAGTAGAAGCAAAGCCTATGAGATTTCAACACATTCAGAATTTATCCATATTCTATATCCTTACTGTATGTGGATGAATATGCACAGATCCTAATGAATGTGCACGTTTGGATTGGCCGACACGTTACAAGATTATAGGAGGGATTGCTCGAGGACTCCTCTATCTCCATGAAGATTCTCGGCTCAGGATTATTCATCGTGATCTTAAACCTAGCAATATCCTGCTGGATGGTAATATGAACCCTAAAATATCTGATTTTGGGATGGCTAGAATTTTTGGTGCAGAACAGAGTCAAGCAAATACAAACAGAATTGTTGGAACATAGTAAGTCTTGATTCTTGAATCCAAATACCCCCTAAAGCAGGGCTGGCATTTTGTAATGGTGACAAATTTGCCAACCTCAACCCCTACCTATGCCAGATGTTTTTTATTAAAATTAAGTAGGTAATGGGGACAGACAAATACCTACCTAAAAGGCTAAAACCTCAGATAATAAATACTCTACTGTCATCACTGAATTTTTTTTCTTGTTAATAACTGCTTACAGTGGTTACATGTCTCCGGAATATGCAATGCATGGACAATTCTCAGTCAAATCAGATGTATTTAGCTTTGGTGTTTTACTTTTGGAGATTATAACTGGCAAGAAAAACAGCCCATTCTATCAATCAGAATATGGGGAGGATCTTCTAAGCAGTGTAAGTATAAGTATGAATATACTTTCAAGTAGTTTTTTTTTTAAACTTGATCTTCAATTTACATTAATGCATCATGGATAATTAAACTAAATAGTTAAGTACCGATGAATTGTGGTAGGTCTGGCGCCATTGGAATGAGGGAACAGCTTTGGACCTGCTGGATCCAATTCTAAGAGACCATTATTCGAAGGATGAAGTAACGAGATGCTTTCACATTGGATTATTGTGTGTTCAGGAGTCTGTAGCTGACAGACCCACTATGGGAACAGTGGTTCTCATGCTCAACAGTTATTCTGTCACTCTTGAAATGCCTTTACAACCAGCATTCGTTGCACCCAGAAAAATGCAGTCAGGCACCACCACAGGAGACAGCCAAGGAGAGGCATCTAAATCGGATCAATCTACAAGTAAGTCAGCACAATGGTCTATCAATGATGTGTCAATTACTGAGCTACACCCCAGGTAATTGGAATTCTATACAAGTGGATAGGGGAAGGTACATGAAAAGCCTTGTCCCAAAAATTGTTGAATAGATGAAGTTTGTTGGTGTGTTTGTGTTCCCTGAACCACTATAACATGATAGAGGAAAGAAATTAATTGGTGTTCAGAAGAAATAGAGGGTGGGCTTGATGGTAGGAAGAACAATAAATCAGTAAACCAAAAAGAGAAAAATGTTGAAATTAAGGCTATGTTTCCCTACCTTTCCCTTCCTTTCATATCTTTTCCTTCAAACCAAACACGGCCTAAAGAGGTATGACCTACAAATACAAAGAAAATGACATGAAATAGAGCTGAAGGTGCTTCAAAGAAATTATGGGTGCTTTCTTCTTTGGCTAGGTAGATTAGTTTTGGGATTTATCCTCTGTTGGAGGCATTTGTTTCCTCCTATTTGGCGCATGTGGATCTTCATCACCGTTTGCGAAGGGCTCATAAGTAATCTTATCCCGGAGCTCAGGGTATTTTCCTTTAGTCAGCAGGTAGGTTTGTTTTTCCTGAATGTTTGATTGTCCCTTCTTGCCCAGTGTTTTTGATATGTGCCTTAACAGAATTCACCCCTAAAAGCTAATTGTTAGAGGGAGAGAATCCAAGCACATATATACCCCACAACAGCATTCCATGCTACAGATGTGACCATGTGGGATACTTTACATTAGCATCCCATACTACCAACATGGGACAAATGGATCGCAACAGTTATTCTGAGCATTATTGAAGGATTGCCTGTTCAGGCTTGAAAATAAAAAATGTTGGTACAAAGACTAAATTGATAGATGCCTAGAGAGAGAGAGACTTGTAGGACGAGAAGTTGCTGCTAAAAACCTTTATGTTTCATATAATAATATTACTTGTACGAGCTGACTTATCGTCTTCATACAAAATTTTCTAATTCACAACAAGCTTTTCATAAACCCGAGTTGTTAATAAAGGCAATTAACAGCAACACCATGGCTGTTTCTTCCTTCCAATTTCTCCACGCTTGGAACAAATCATTCAGTTGCAAGTGATTGGTAGTTTGTCTTTGTCAGGGTGTATAGTAAACTGAAGATTAAACTGATTCTCTAAAAATTTTAACTTGATGAAAGAATAAAATCACATTCATTAGTATACTCGTGAAGAAAATCACATTCTCTAAAAATTTAAACTGAAGATTGAAAAGTTAAGAAGGTCCGCTAGGGTGCCCAGGAGGAATCCGAGGTTCGTGGAGTGATGAACTGGACATGCTCCTACTTCTGTCTTAACTAAAGTTAGAATAGGTCAATAACTGGTTGGAGAATATCTCGGCCAAATTAGTTAGTTGTTAGTGTGTTAGTTGGTTATTGTTGCTATAGCATAGGGATCGGCCAATTAGTTTATTATTGTTAATTTGTTAGTTTGTTATTTTGCTAAGGATTAGGGGTCGGCCAGCTAGTTAGAAGGCTAATCCCTTAATTAAAGGCTATCCTAGTGGTAGGCAGTTAAGAATTTTTTGTATTTAAACACCACCCAACCAGCCGGGAGGCGCAATGAAAATTTGAATGAAATTCTGTGGTTTGTTCTCACCCTAAGAAGAGCACTTGTCACGTAGTTGCAGACTGGGAACAAACCACCCTAAGAAGAGCACTGTCCCAGTTAGCAGCTACGTGACAAGTGCTCTTCGTAGGGTGAGAACAAACAACAGAATTTCATTCAAATTTTCACTGTGCCTCCCTGCCTACCACTAGGATAGCTTTTAATTAAGGGATTAGCCTTCTAACTAGCTGGCCGACTCCTAAGCCTTAGCAAAATAACAAACTAACAAATTAACAATAATAACAAACTAGCAATAATAAACTAATTGGCCGATCCCTTTGCTATAGCAACAATAACCAACTAACACACTAACAACTAACTAATTTGGCCGAGATATTCTCCAACCAGTTATTGACCCATTCTAATAGAAGTAAAGACACAAGTAGGAGCATGTCCAGTTCATCACTCCACGAACCTCGGATTCCTCCTAGGCACCCTAGCGGACCTTCTTAACTTATCAAAGATTAAACTGATTCTCTAAAACCAGACATGCATGATTACCAACTCCTCTGTAAACGTGAAAGGGGTTTATTTCTCTAGTTTCTTAAAAGAAAACAACTTGAAAAACAAGAAGAAGAAATAGCCCATTTCAAATCTTAGCGGATGATGGTGATGTACTGATGTCTAACATAAGTTATTGAAGTTCAAAGACGATCTCTTAAAACGTTTACGTCACACCTAATTTCCATCTACAGTCTCGTCAACAATATATCAAAAAGGCTAAATTTTCCAATTAAGAGCTGAATGTATAGACCTTCAAAAATCCAAACATAGAGGGATCATGGTTGGTCTGATCACCATCTGAGTTAAGTGATCAAGGCCGTTAGAGAGAGAAATTCAACTTTAGTTGCTACTTGCAATTCAAGAGGACGTGCAAATAATTAGATGCTTCAGAGAAAATCAAAGTCAGAGAAATTAGCATCAAACTCAGAACCGGGTGCGTCATCTTCTTCAAAGCCGTCGACATAATCATCTTCAAAACAGAAAACAGCATCGCCATAATCTTCGCTTCTGTAGGGGTAACGGTGGCTTATGTATCGAGATGCAGTCCCGAAGAAATCCAGATTGTTGTCCAACAAACTAAGGCGTTCCACCTCACCACTCAAGAAATCGTAGTCGATTTCTTCTTCTTCATGGTCATTATCATCTCTGGCATCATCGTCATCGTCATCGTCATAGTCATCTGCATCACTATAGCAATCATATTCGTATTCAAAGTAGCCATTGTTGTAGCTACTGCTGCTGCTGTAGGGCGAATCGTTGTCTTCCAATTCCGACATGGCTACTGAGAAGCTCCAATTGAGTAGTAGAGCAAATGATAGGCGTTTTTATTTTCTGCCTCAGCGGGTTGGTATTTTATAGAACTGGGATGGGAATCTTGTGCTTATGCATCGTCAAATGGGAATTAATTCATGGAGAGGATTCCCGAAGCCACGATTCGCATTCCACATCCTACTCCCGAGGCCCAACATCGCTACTACTGAACCGATCCAACTTCCTCTCTTAAACAAATTAAGTAATTCCCCACATCAGCCATAAACCATATAAAACCCACAACCACTCAATCTCTCAACTCGCGTAGCTGATACGAACCATTAATATTGGTTGTATAGCCCCTAATACAATAATTACCTTCAGTTGATCCAAGTTGTACTTTTGGGTTATTGGATGTATGGGGGCTTCAACTTGGACTAAACTTGGGCAGCATTAGCCTGTATCTTCCTTGAAAAAAGGTTGGGTTGAGGTTTGAATTAGATTTAGGCCCTGTTCACTTTTTGGTAAGTTATTTATACAGGTAAATGTATTTACCCGGATAAGTGTTTTTTTGAAAAAACTTATTCAGGTAGGTGTATTTACTCATGCTTTTTTATTTCTCAGGTAAATAAGGTAATGACTAGATTAACCATAATAATTCATTATTAAAAGGGGCATTTTTGTCCCATTCAAGTGTTAGAGACATTTCCCTAAGTTATTTACCCTGTTTTAATTTGACAAAAACCTCCATTAACGGTCATTTTTTAACGTTTTTCTCAAGTTAAAACAGGGTTATTTCAGTAATTTTATATGTAAAGTAATTTATAAAAGGGTAGAACGAGTATTTGAAAAAAACTGGTTCATCAAACTAATGTTTTCCATCTCGAAAAGTGACAAAAGGGAGGTTTTTGTTAAGTTTCTCAAAAGTTCAGGGGAGGTATTTGTTAAAATAAAACTATAGAGGAGGTTTTTATATTTTATCCTTTAAATTAATTTGAGTCCCCGATACTCCCCTCCTTGTAGGGGAAAAACTTTGTTTGTTTGGGTAAAACATCATAGTTTTCTATGGATTTTTTTGCTCTCACAATCTTTGAACTTTACAAAAAAACTACCTTTGCCCTTTTTATAATTTGAGGGGCCAATTTAGACCTCAAATTAAATTGAAAAGGCCATCAATAGCCAAAAAACGTACAATATTAGTGATGTCATTTACAATTCGCTAAATAATAAATAAAATAATAGAAAATGATGATATGGCACTATTAATCTCAAAAACTGAAAAATTACAAATGGGTCATACTGAATAAAATAAAAAAAATTTAATGTATAATCAATAAATGTTGAAAATAATATATAAGTGGGTCTCACTTAAAATTTCTTCTTTTAAGAAAAAAATAATAGGTGGGATCCACTTTAAATTATAGGTGGATCCCAATTAAAATTTCCTCCTTTAAGAGAAAATTAATAAGTGGATCCCACTTAAAGTTTCATCTAGAGAAAAATAATAGGTAGGACCTACTTATAATTTCAAGTGGGGCCCATGTATTAATTTTCTCTTAAAATGAGGAAATTTTAAGCGACCCACCTATAATTTCAAGTGGGATCCACTTATATATTATTTTCAACATTTATTAATTATACACTAAGTGACTTTTTATTTTATTCAATGGGTCCCACTTGCAATTTTTCAGTTTTTGGGTTTAACGTATCATCATTTTCTATTATTTTATTTAGGGAAAATTCCTGATAGATAGAGTGTCAATTTAGTGCCCGAACTTTAAAATGCGATAATCTAGTACCCGAACTTTCATTTTGCGATGATTTAGTACCCAACGTTAATAAACCGTTAAGTGAAATGCAAAAAGACAAAAATACCCTTCAAATATCATCTAATTTTCTTTAACAGGGCACCTATAGCAATTTTCCCAAAATAAAAAAAGTCGAGTACACCACAGAAATGGCTAAAATAGCTAGGAAATGGAAACCAGAAACATAATAGAGCAACCAACTTACTTTCCCCACCAAAGCTCATCATCTTCTGTCTTCGCTCTCGGGAGCGTGGCTAACGCTCCGCTCGACGTTATGAACGATCCATGCTCGTACCTGTTCGTACAACTCTGTAGAGTAGAAGATAGAAGAAGAATGTCATCCAACGTCAGTAAATCTGGGGAAAAAGAAAAAGCATAAATGAAAAGCAGGCAAGATAGGTCGAGTCAAAAGCCTCCTTTCCACCATAGATATTAAAACCACGCAATCAGCTTTGGAAACCTGGGACACGTGGCTTTCTTATCCATCGTGAGAAGGTAGATTT